TCCTTCCTTCCTTCCTTCCTTCCTTCCTTCCTTCCTTCCTTCCTTCCCTTCTGTCTCTTTTCTTGTAATGCATTTATATTGCACAAAATTTAGGTGTTATACACACTGGTGATCCTCCCACCCCCCCACTTATCCTTTCTTCTGTGTGGTAAGCGCCACTGCCTCGTTCCCTGAGTAACCTCAGACAGGTATGCTGGTGGGCGAGAGTCATTTTACCCGCCTCCCCACGGTGGTTTTGCACAGAGGGTGGCCTCCTCCACATACCGTCTGGCATCGTGTTTTAGTTTGTTTCCATCTTTAAGAGATGGGCTCCCTACTTGACCCACAGAAGGTTACACTCTCCTTCCAAACGCACCATAGACTCCCGTGGGGGTCGCTATTGTTCTGTGACCTCTCCTTCACTCGTGAGCGTTGATCTGTGTCCTGCCCTTGCCCGTATGCACAGTGCTCCAGTGGGTGGAACTGGACACACAGGATACGCTACGCACGTGTGAGAGATCAAACGCCAAATGCGTAGGATGTGTCTTCCTTGTGGGTCTGCTGGGTGAAAGGGCTGGCTCTCATTTGGTACCTCTGACAATGCTCTGCTTCTAGTGGGTTTTGTTCACTCTCAGGCAGCAGTGTGGGGACCCCCGGGCCTCCTTCGTTTGTTTATGTCGGTGTTTGTGCTTCATGATGGCTGCCAGACTGATGGGTGAAATGGCTTCTCATTGTAGTTTTATCAGGAATGAAGTCAAGAGCCACTTTTCTAATTAATCTGCCCATTTGCTGTTTGATTCTGGTCTGAATAGAAGATAAAGAAATGCTTTTCCCATGGGGTAGCATTTTTAAAAACTGCTGTCTGTATTTATGTGGTTGGATTTCAGAATGGATTTAGATTACCGGGTATCATCAATAGAGAAGATTTCATTTGTAACTGATTATATCTACTCTTTAGATAGTTTATACGCTTACATGTGACAGGATGCCTTGATTCTGAATATGCATGGATGAAATTCCCAGTCCCTTTGGTATGTTGGCTATGTGGGATACTATGTACTGAGTAAAATAAATGAGAAGAACTGCTCAATCAGGGGCTCCAGGAATATCACTGAATAGGGGTTGGCGGGGAGAGAAGAAGCCAGTTGTAGAAATATGGTATGCTTTGTCCTTTAAAAAACTAGAGACAATACCAGTGGCCTTTTTCTCAAGGGGTATATATGTGTATATTAATCCATAGACAAAGGTACCCGACAGGCAGGTGCCGGGATCGGTCACTGCCTTAGGGAGAGGGTAGAGACTAGAAGAAACAACTCTTACTTGCAATATGAAGCAGAACGTTGAAGGTTCCTCAGGATACAGAGAGATGAGTTTCACTGTGATCTGAGCTGAGGAGGGAGTTAGCAGTGGCTGAGGAAGTCTGGCAGAGCAGCTGTGGTCTGAGGACTCTGCCTGCTGTCTGACCTTACCCTCCCCTTCTCAGATCCTGACAGGTGAAGACTGGAACGCAGTGATGTATGACGGCATCATGGCCTATGGGGGCCCCTCGTCATCTGGAATGATTGTCTGCATCTACTTCATCATCCTTTTCATCTGTGGCAACTGTATCCTTCAGACCCACCGGGACTGTGCAGTCACCGTCACTGTCTTGTTCTTTGTGAACCTCCTCATGGTTATGGTGACAACAGTAGCAGCTGTAGGGCTAAGGGAGACATGTGCCTTTCCCTTGTTAGCTCCATGCTGCCTTTTTTCCCCACATGACAGATGGGAGCCATATAGTATGAGTCACGCCTAGGGTTAACAGTCTTATAGTGGTGCCAGTAGATAATGAGCTTAGTATCATGTCGCCATATAAGACAAGCAGGGAAGCCTGATGGTTGTTTATTTTGTCATTGCTGGAAGGTTGGGGCTACCTCCATGTCACCCCATGAGCAGTGAGCAGCCTCGGTCGGTTATGCCAGTCTTGCTATGCTCACCTGTCTGTACTGTGCTGGGTAAGCTTTCTCTGAGTTGCTTGATTCCTCTTCCTGCTGAGACACATCATGAACTTCTGCAGTTGGCTGTTGGACCAGTTTGTGCACCAGCCTCTTCAGGGGCTTGTGATGTTTGGTTGTCGTGCCTGTCTTATTCGACTCCTCCATGCTAAGCCTGTGTAGGGACATGAAGACCCCGTGCTCTCCACCCTTCTGATTCAAAAAGTCCTACTATGAATGACTCCTTAGGGGTCCAGACTTGCAGCTCATCCTCTCTGTCTTCTTTAGCTCTTCAGTAAACTCTCTTGAGTGTGGAAAGCCTGGTGCCAGCCTGCACTGCTGTCGTTAAGGACAGTGTTTTGTGTTACAAGATTTCTGAGAAAATCTTAGATGCCTACCACATCTCTGAGTCCCAGGGAGCGCCTCTGCCCTTTTTCCCTACTCAGAGATGAGTTCAGCGACCTCAGAATCCCCCTCAGATTTTGTCCGTGTCTGTTGCCTGTATGCAGAGTCCAGTGTCCACTGCAACTTCAGTGAGCAACCCCCACCAAGCAGACGATAGCTTCACCGGTCAGGCGTCTCCTTTTCCTTGTTTGTGTGTCTCCTGCTCAGACAGTGCAGACATTTGTTAAATGGATGCTTTTCCTTTTCCGTTCTCCTCCTGCCACACTGTTTCACACCGTGTACTAGGCTTGTGCCTGCACACTGTTCCCTAACACTCCTCTCCGGCTCTATGTTGAAGCTCTTTGTGACATGTGCCACCACATGAAAGCCTGAAAGAGTTGCTATGTTTTCTGTCTCCAGCTGGAGGCAATACTCCATTTTATCATGTTTCCTTCCATACTCCAGTGTCCAGCAGGGCTGGCCTGCCCAGGTTGCTCTGTAGATCTTTCTGAATGAGTTCACGGAACACCCCTTTGTAGGGTGTCTAGGACATGCTCCTGAAGGCATGTGGCAAATCGATCCAGATTCGCACTTCGCTCCCCACAAGTTTAGTGTCATTGCAAGGCTCCTCCTGGGGTCCACTGAGAGACATGTTTGATATCACTGTTCCCAGTGCTGACACCTGCTCAAGCCACCATTGCCACGCCTCTCTGAGGAGTCTCCATGCTTACCATGCTGTCTCCAGCCCAGGATGGATGCTCTGTCCAAGTATCAGTGGAACTCACCCAGTTCTCCATCCTTTTGAAAGACCTGACTAGAATAAGGCATGGCATCACCTCACAGTGATCTTGCCATGAGGCCCTTGGGAGCTTTTTGTTGGTGTGTGTGTTCAGCAGCCTATCTGGAAGTTTGTAACACACGGGGCACATGGGGCAGAGTCCACTGCTCCTGTCCACCCCACAGCCCAGCTGTAGGCTGAGCATCAGGCTTAGGGGAACAGCCGTACAGCATAGAACCTTTCCACAGATTACCCTCAGACCCCTGGGCTTCTCAGTGTTCACAAATTCTAGTTAGTAAGGAAGTAACCACATCTTCTGACTCGATATTCTTAATTAAAAAAAAAATTTCTAAAAATTCTAGAAAATATCACAAGCAATGTTATATTTAAAAAAAAAAAACACACAAAAGCTTATTCACCTGATATGTTGCCATTTACAAAAAACCATGTTCAGCCACAGTGAGGCCCTTAGAACACAGCCTAGCCTCCTCTGGCAGGGTCTAGCTTACCATTTATAGCAGGTATCTGCAGTGTAAAGGAACTAACTGCAGACTCTGGAGGCCATGCTAGAGGAGAAAGCCTCCTACTATATTGTACAATGAGATCATCATTTTGATCACATATGGCCTTTGAAGGCATCTGGTTTGCAAAGGAATCCCTTGAATGTGTATGCTATAATGTGTTTTCAAAGAAAACAAAACACAATGTGCTCCAAAAATGGACAGCAGTATCTGAGCAAGGATATCTGTGGCTGGTCCGGAGACCCTACATAGGTTTCCATGCTTTTCACTTTTATTTTTTTAAGTAGGATTTTGCAAAGTTCTCCAGTTGTACCAAGTGAGTATCACGCTAGGGACACTCACCCACTCCCAGCCTACAGAGTAGAGAAACGTGACGCTGCTCTTATCGACTGTATGTAGCTGCACTTTAAAACACGCTGTACCTTAAGATTTCCAAATTAGATATCCTACTGAACGTCTTCTTGGCCATTGCTGTAGACAATTTAGCTGATGCTGAAAGTCTGAACACTGCTCAGAAAGAGGAAGCTGAAGAAAAGGAAAGGAAAAAAATTGCCAGGTAATCATCTCATTTTCACAGAGGCATTTGCAAAGGTGCAAGGGGTTCCCAGCCATACTTTTAGGGGGTGCTGGAGACTCAGACAGGCTTTCCAAGAACTGAAGCCACTTTTTGCTGCTTTGCAGTAACAATGGGTGACCATGTGGTACCAACTAAAGAAAAGGGATTCTTGGACAGCCAGGTCCTTGGCTCTTATCCTCAGAACAAGGAGTGGAAGTCACACATTTAAGTACATCCCTGTGCTTGAAGAATCACTGTAGTTAATTTTGATGTCATAAATTAAATGATGCAGTCAAGGCTTATTCGCTCTGGGCTGAGAATTTTAATGAGGTGATTTGTATAAGGACTCCATTGCATTAGATGAACAGGAAACCCTGAGTTTGGGTTGCACTGTATTGTCATCAGTGTTTTCAGTTGAATTTTGGTCCTTCATCCATCACTGTTGATGCAGAATCCTAGTTAGCGCTTTAATACTAGCAATATCGTTATTTGTTTTCTTATGTTCTTTTATCTATAGAAAAGAAAGCCTAGAAAACAAAAAGAACAACAAACCAGAAGTCAACCAAATAGCCAACAGTGACAACAAGGTATTTCTCCCACAATAACTTTTCTTTGTTTCAAAGTGATTCTCTTGGTGTCTCCATCACTGTACCATTTATACCATGAAGGGGTCTTGAGTGTGATATTTTGTTGTGAAAAATAGAGCCCACCATGTAGACACTGGGGATTCTGACTGAGTTAAACAGGAAGCTGATTAACCAACATTTCACCATAGGATGTGGATAGTCAAACAGTTGGACTACTTGTTTTGCTTTGAGTTGCAACTAAGTGGTCAGACATAACCCATGCTTATGATTATGTTGATGTCTTCTTAGTGGGTGTTAAAGAGGGGTTGTTAGCAGATGTCTGTTCCTAGAGTGCCTGTAGAGTCCAGGTGGTCTTAGGGGCCTTCAAGGCTGCACCGTCCAGTTTCATCCTACCTCTGACAGCTCTGGCTGTTTCTGGGGTGTGTTTGCTCATTGAATTGATGAATACTGAGTGACAGTTGCATGTCAAACACTAGACTGCCTCCATGGATTTCACAGTCTTCTTGAGAGACAAGGATCTAAATGTGGTTTAGATCTAAATGTGTGCAGGCACGCAGTGTATGTGCCTGCACTGGGGTGGCCAAAGGGTAGAGCCATGTACAGTGCCCACTTATCGTGACCCGGGTGGTGGCCTATCTCCCACCTGCTCTTGGGCCTGTAGCTGGCTCAGAATCCCCAGCTACCGTCTCTGCTTGAATGTGCATGCGTGTGCATGTGAGTACACACACATGCGCGTGTGCATAGGAGCCCTCACACTGCTGAATGGCAGGGTGGCTCTCTAGAGGGCGTTGGCCCTCGGAAGTTCACCAAGTCAGCCTTCCCTCTCTGTCATCCTAGGTTACAATCGATGATTATCAGGAAGAGGCTGAGGATAAGGACCCTTACCCACCCTGTGATGTACCAGGTATGTGGGGCAGAGAAGGACTCTCAATTTGGTAATTTTGGCGGGGGCGGGGGGGCTGTCACACTGCCGAGGCCACTGGGGCTGTAGTAGACTCCATTGTCTTGGGGAGCAGTTAGCTCTGGTTCCCCCCAAAGTCACAGGCAGGGAGATGGACTCAAATTTTCAGGTGACAAAGGAGGGAGGTGGACACATAGGCATGGCTTTTGCCGGAAAGATGGCTATGGAATGTCGAAGCCTGAAGGCAAGCATGCCTGTGACTCAAAATCCACACAGGTGTTCAGACTAACTCTGAGCAAGGGGCGGTGCTGGGACGTGGCAGTGAGACTCTCACCTACATCTGTGACCACATTAGGCCTCCTTCCCCTGGCTCATAGCCAAGCAGGCCAGACAGCGGTGTCGCCGCCCCCTTGCTCATGCAGCCCGTAGTCAGAAGGGAAAGAAAGGTTCCGGTCAGTGGAAGCAGATGTTGTTAAAGTTTAAACCATACTTCACTGTGAAGTTGACGATTCAAGCCCGTGTGTAATCTTTCACCCTGTAAAATCGTTCCGTTTAAAGTAGGTGAAGAGGAAGAGGAGGAGGAGGAGGAGGAGCCTGAGGTTCCTGCTGGCCCCCGTCCTCGCAGAATCTCAGAGTTGAACATGAAGGAGAAAATTGCACCCATCCCCGAAGGAAGTGCTTTCTTCATTCTTAGCAAGACCAACCCGTAAATATTCTCTTCCTAGTCCCATTGCTGCTGTCTCTCTACAGTGACTCCTGAGGGTGGGGGTGGGGTAGAGTAAATGAAAGCGGTTCACAGCCCCCTTCTGATCCTGAGTGTTTCTGGACCCCCATACACCCCTTCAACCCCTCTCCTCTTCCTTTGCTTTGCCATGCATTCAGCCCTGAGGAAGTTCCTGTTCCCTTGGGGGTCCGAAGGATTCCTAGGAGGAGCCTGCTCTAGAATTCCTGCCCTCACTGCCCCTGCGTGGGAACAATAGGACAGTGTCTAGCTCAGTAAGACATTCTGGAGGAGTTCATGGATCTTCTGTGTGTACGCTGGCCCCCTCTAGGACTCTTTCTTTCTTTCTTTCTTCTTTTTTTTTTACGAGGAAGGGTTTATTTTGGCTTAATATAGTACATCATGGAGGAAAGCCAATGGCGTCAGGAGTGGCTGGTCTCATTGCATCTGAAGTCAGGAAGTAGAGAGTAGACAGAATCCTCAAACCCCCCCACCCCCAGTCTTCCAATAAGGTCCTACCTTAAGGTGTGGTTCCCAGCTGGGGATCACGTGTTCTAACATAGGAACCTGTGGAATATATTTCACATTAGGACCCTTTCTTAACAAGTGGATGTTGTCTTACGAGGCTGCACGGAATGAGAGCTCTGTAAGCGGTTCTGTGTCTTCATTTTCAGGTCCCATTTAGGAGATCTTTTTTCCCCCTGTGAGTTTTATGATATTGCTCATGATGCTTTATAAGCTGTACGGATTTGATTCAGCACGAGGATACTGTGCTTAAAATAGCATTTCTCATATTAAAATGATACAGTGCTCACCAGGAACATGGTAATGACTCACAGACTGTTAGAGGAAGAAGTCTATTTACTAGCTGGTTTCTAGGTTTAAATCATCTGGGATTAAGTGAGCTTCCAGCGGCATAGGTAGCTCCTGGAAAGGTTTCTGGAAGAATTGCAGAAGTAGTTCTTGGCTGTCAGAGTGGAACACTGTGTAATTCATGGGCCCTGGAGAGACTTGGGTAGGAAGCAAAGCAGGCTGGAGGCCTTGAAACATGACAAGTTTCATGATCTTTTACAAAATGAATTTGTTGGTATTGTGTGTGAATGACAGCCACCGTGCATAGAAAGGTTAGAGGACAACTTTATGGATTTGGTTCTCTCTCCCGTTTGTGTTGATACTGGAATCACATTCCGGCCATCAGGCTGCATACAGATTATTTACCTGCTCAATGATCTGGCCCACTCTGATGAGCTTTAAATAGTTCCTTGGTGAACATTCTGAAAGAAAGAAAGAAAGAAAGAAAGAAAGAAAGAAAGAAAGAAAGAA